GATCTGGCATGCGCCTCTTGTTCGGCGACCCCGCTCCCATCTCTGTGTGGAGTGAGAGGACAATTGCCCAAAAAAATAATAACAATTGTAAACCGCTTTGTGACCCTTGTCTGTGAAAGGCGGTATATAAATAAACATTACTTACTTACTCTTTTTCCATGTGCAGCCCTGATGATTGGCCCTGTGCTGTCCTGTAGGCCAGCCTCTTCTGCTATGCTCCGGTGGTAAATGCCGTGTCCTCCCATGATGGGCTTTCCTCCAGCCCCTTCTCATTTCGCCACTGTCTGAGACGTTCACTGAGTACGTCATCCGTTTTGGCCAATTGTTCTTGCCAATGAGTCACGTCTTAGGACCAGCCTTACTCTCTGGAGATATTTGGTAGTTTTCCTCGTTGCCTGTTCGAGGTTGCCATTTGCCTGTGGTATACCAAGATACTTGTTGCTGTCCTCAACATCTGCTTTTGTTCCCTTCTGTGTGGACTATCTTGCCTCTCCGAGATACCATCCTGTGACTCTCGCTCTTGGCGTTCAGCTTGATTTCATCCATGTAGAGGAGGTGACTGATCTTCGCTTCATTTCTGAGGCAGTATCCACAGCCAGTCTGGTCGATTATTTGGCTTAGAGGGTTTAGGGCTATGCAGAACAGCAGTGGAGACAGAGCATTTCCTTGGTAGATGCCATATTTGATGATCACAAATAGCAAGCCGCTTGCCAGTTGGTAGAGCATTGGCCTTTGAGCCAGAAAGTCGTGGGTTCGAGCCCACCTCAAGACTTTCACTATACACTACCATCACCAAAAACCCATCCTTCTGTAAGTGTGCTCCAGGGCAGCTGTGGCTACAGTAGTAGTTTATCACCACCGTGTACGGAGTGAATGAATAATGACATGTAAAGCATCTTTGCATGTCCAAAAAAGCGCAATATAAAACCGATGCATTATTATTATTATTTGCCTCAAGGGTGGTCTTCCACATGCCTATTGAGTTTGCAACAAAGTTCCTTTGAGCCCTTTTGATATTGTCAAACTTCAAGCATTCCATGATCCATGTGCGGGGCATAGAGTCATAGGCTTTCTGGTAATCAATCCAGGCTGTGCACCTGAAAGTTAAAAATGTATAATTTTTTTGACATATGTTATGTATTATTACTAACATGTATTTCTGTTTAATGTAAATACATATAACAATGCATGTACATGTTTAAATGACATTGTAAATATGTAAGCTCGAATAAATCAAAATCAAATCAAATCATGGAAAGAATGGGCACAAGGCGCAGACACCCGTTACAGCGATTGTGTGAAGTACCACCTGAAAGTCTTTTAGAAAGCATGAATGAGGGGGCGATATCTATCAACACAATCACTGAAACCAATGAGCTGATACACACATTGGCAGCAGTGGTCCTAGAGAAGCTTGGCTATAAGAACAACCATGGGAGCCATGAGAAACGATACCCACCATTGAAAAGATGGTTGGAGGTTAAGATCAAAGCTGCTCGGAGAGAAGTGAGTCAATTAACAGCGGCCTAGAGAGGTGCAATGAAAAGACAGGTACCCAAGAAGTAGGCAAGGCAAGCCAAGACAAGTTTATTTGAACATAAATAATCAGAGTACATTAAAAAGAAAGATGAAAATATAAAATCCCTTAGTTGAATGCACAGCTAAAAGTAACTGTGTTTAACCTTGATTTAAACATTGTTAAAGAGAAGGAATCTCTCACATTTCCAGGAAATTTTTTCCAGATGGTAGCAGCATGAATCTGAAATGTGAGGGTTGCGACTTTTGTTGAAGACCATCTCATCTTCGAAGTAACCCACAAAGAGCGATGCATAGCTGCTTGTTCCCGAGATCTGGAGCTAATAAGATTCAAATGAGAAGAAGTTCGAGGTCAGTACAATTTCTTACTGGTCCATTATGGTGTTAGTGTTTGGTGTATGGTTGGAACGCTGATTCAAAAAGAATTTATAAGCATGCAAGCCTCCTGCGAGTCGAACATTTGTGTAGAGCAGGGGTCTCCAACCTTTGGCTTGGGAGCTACCAGTTGCCCAATTGAAAAAGGTTGGAGAACCCTGGTGTAGAGTGATTCGATGTTCATTGTGACCAAGAAACATTCACTCTAAATTTCAATAGAGTTCAACAATTTTTAGAAATTCCATCAAGTGTTTTACATATGGCAAGAGTGCTGTTACTAATGATTGAAGGAAGAAATCCACATTAGCAGACATTTTGTCTGCTGTGAGAGCTCATTGAGGACACAATGGGTCGGCCCGGGGTCATGTCCATATATTCCTTGTGTGTTTTGGGCAATATATGCAGCAACACCGGGGTAACTGGATGTTCTTTAATCACGTTCTGTAGTTGTGTTCATGTTTGGTGATCTCTGTGCTCTCTAGTAGTTGGTCCATCTTTGTCATTTTTATCCTAGTCTTAAAATCTGGGGTGGGGTTTCTCTCCAATATCCTGTAAAATTGTGGATTATTAAGTTGTTTGAGCACTTCTTTGGTGTATTCTGTACGATCTATAACAACAATTGCTCCTCCTTTGTGAGCGCTTTTAGATATGGTAGATTTGGTCTTTATTAACTTTTCTAATTCTGTCCTTTCTTCTTTGGTCAGGTTATCTGAGATTTTATATTGCCCTTTCTTATGCAGAAGGAGTGAGATGTCTTGTTCAATCATCCTACATAGTGTCACTGGACGCATTTCTTTTTTGTGGAGATATGAAGGTGCTTTTACCTCTAAATCGCGTCCACGGGCTCGCTGTTAATCCATTGACGACATTCCCAGTGTCCTGTGTCGTTTCCATTATCTCTGTCTCAAGTCCTGATTCAGGCACAGAGATACACGGTTTCTCATAACTGAAAAATTCTTTCATTTCATTTCATTTTCAACCCCTTTATTAGTCCATTTCTGGGTCGGAAAAATTCTTTGATTCTTAAATTTCTAGCCTGGTCGTACCACACCATAGTACAAATGACATTTCCTACTAAGGTCTGGAGGTGCTCCATTGAGCTCCGTTTACAGGTGGGAGGGGTTAACTCCTTTTGCAGATTGAAACCATTGGATCTGAGTTTACCGTATGTAATGCGCTCGGGTGTGTTGTTAGCATTTAGCATTTACCTAGCCCGCTAACGGAGCCCGTGGGGAGTAGCGCCACATTTTTTTCTAGCGATTACATTTGCTTAACATTCCTATTGCTCCGGCTTCAATTTCTTGATAGAACCAGATCGGATTACTTTACTATCGCATTTTTCGCCATTGCCAAACTACAACCTTCCGTTCAACGCAAACTGTAAATGTCACCCACAACTAAATACAACACTGTCCTTCCGCGCTCGCCGGTTGGTCGGTCGAAATTCAACCGATTGTAATCGCTAACCCAGGGACCAGACCCAGACGTTACATGCAGTGAAATAATGATTGAGCGGAGTGTACGGATGGCTAAGGCCAGGCTATTAAATTTCCAAAGAATTTGTTCAAATCAACCATGACATCAAAGTCTTTGCAGTGGGTGGTTGGGACAAAGACAAGCCTTTACTTAATGCAGATACACATGTTTCTGATACCTCATTTTTTGTTTTGTACCTGTTCGTTATGCTCAGAGTCCAATACAGTTCTATTGTACTGCATCTTACCACCATTTTTTCCCCCACTGTTTTCATGTTTTGCACATTTTTAAACCAGCCGGCTAGTGCAGACTACAGGGATGTGCGGCCCTATTTGAAACCTTATAGATAAAGGTATAACCAATGGTTTTTAATTTGGCAGTTATAAATTAAAAACTTATATCACCCATTATTAACTATTTAAGGAACACAAATAACATAAAAAACATAAATATGAAAAAAATACAATCAAACAAAAAACAATAATTACATATGGTGATGTTGACGATGACATGATGAGTAACAACCAATACTGATTGTATGCTTCTGATTTGGCATTATTATTATTGTTATGTATGTACAGGTATGTTTGTGTGTGTGTGTACTTGTATATGGGTATGTGTGTGTGTGTGTTTACTTATATATGGGTATGTATGTGTGTGTGTGTGTGTGCGTGTACTTGTATATGGGTATGTGTGTGTGTGTGTGTGTGTGCGTGTTTACTTGTATATGTATGTGTGTGTGTGTGTTTATAACAGGGCTGTCAAAATTATCGTGTTAACACGTGTTAATGAATTCTTTTCATTAATCGCGTAAAAAAAATTAACGCATTGACGCATGTGCGCAACGGCCCGCCCATACATCCATTAATAACTCTCAGAAGTGCCGCTCACAGGTTTCTCATATTAAGAAACCCTCCTACACTCCCTCCCACGAACCATGTACAGTAGTTTTAGTAGCGATCTGCTAGGCATAAGTTATTAGTAGCACAACTTCTTATAAGCTGTACAGCAATCACTGATGAAATGGTGGAAGGACGTAAGCCACTTTCTGCTAACATGCTGCTGTGTTTACCTGTGCTGTAGATGCTAGAGGAGGCAGCCTGTTCGAAACAGCGCTGCTCCTCGTTGGAGGAGAACGAGTGTCACGCAAAGTTTCTACCCATCACTTTTTATGGCCTGAATTCATACACAGCTGAATCACAAGCTGAATCAGTTCATTTCATTTACGGGTTTTAATACAACTTGTATGTAATAATACACATTTTTATGAACTCATTAGAAAATTAATCAGGTATAGTTTCTTGCCGAGTGGGTTCTATTTCATATGTTGCTTCGCCCTTTAGGCTTCGCTAATGCATATCTCTTCGGAAGCATCGCTTCCCGCCCTGAGAAGATCAAACGATCCACCCTCCAATCACCTTCACGTCCTGGCGTAGGTCTGTCCCCTATAAAAGGGGTCATGCACCACAGCTCTTCTCCTTTCTCTCTCAGCTCTAAGAGAAGCTTCGATTCACTGGAATAGGATGTCATCAAGCAAGTTCGCCGCGCCTGAAGATCTGTCACCCTCCGGTGTCAGGTGTTTCTCGCATTTGACCGCATCGGCTGTGGTCAGGATGCGTATGGCGATGCCGGTCCAGCCCGCCTCGCCTCCGGTGGACTATTTACAGTCCCTCGCTCCCTCCCCCCGGCGACGCAGACGAGAGGTGGTTGCTCCCAGGATGGAACCGCTGCTGCATTATGCCAGCCGTGAGTGGGATAGGCCCATGGCAGCCAAATCCCCGGCCTTGGCGTACGGAGTGTATGCAGGAGTGGACGCATGGCCTAGGCCGTCAGGCGTTCCTCCCATAGAGGACGGAGTGCGCCTGTCTCTGCTTCCAGCTTCATCTCCGTGGTCTGGACTGGCAGCTCCCTCCGAGCGGGACAAGCTGACCATCTCCATGCTCGACAGATGTTATGCCAATGCAACACAGGTCGTTGCTTTGGCAAATAACATGACTCTCCTCGCTGCTTCCCTCGACACTCTCATCCGGGGTCGGGAGGAGCTCTCCCGGACGGAGATCGAGGAGGCTGAGGATACTATGGCCACCTTCCTCCGCATGGCACAGGGCTTAGCGGTGGACGGTGGTAGGTCCATGTGTGCGGCCCAGGTCGCCTGCCGCCATCTCTGGTTGGGCCTGTCACCTCTCAGGGATGCTGATAAGCGGCGCCTTCTGGATCTGCCGCTCTCCTCCTCTTCCTTGTTTGGACCGGACATCCAGACCCTCGTGGAGCGGATGGAAACAGCGTCCAAGACCTCCGCTCAGTTGGCACAGCACCTCCGTCCTCCGCGGGCTCCTCGTCCCACGGCACGGCGTCCGGGTTATGCGGAGCGAAGAACCCGTGACCGCCCGGCCCCCCCGCATCGTTCAGAGCCTGGAGGCTCTCTGGGTCCTGTGCGCGGGAGACAGCGAGCTCGTGACCAACGGGGGAGCGGCAGCCACCCTGGCTCTCCAGCTACAGGGAGGGGAGGGAAATACTTTAATAAAGGCCGCAAGCAGGCCCGTTACTCCCATAAAGAGTCAACTTCTTTCCCTTTTCCCTCTCACTCCGCATTTGGCCAACGCTGCTCCTCTACAGGGCGTCTGGAGCCTCTCTCAACGCGCTGCGAGGTGGCACGTTGGAGGCAGGCTCCAGGTTCGCAGTGCACTCCCCGTGGTTTCGCCTCCCGTGGGCAGGGAGTGCGAGACCGTGCGCTCCCCTCCTACGCTCCTTGTGCGCCAGCAGCACCAGCTCACAGCGCTCCATGTGAGAGGCACAGGGCCGCAGCTATCCAGAAGAACAAGGGGGACTGCTCGGCCCCCCCTCAGTCTCCAGTGTTGGGGGGCGGGGGCCCGGCTCCGCGGAAGCAAAGCACGCCTGCCCTCTTGCTGCCACCCGGAAAAAGGTCCAGGGCCGCAGCTAGTGCTCAACCCTCCTCCCAGGGGCCCCCCACTATCCAGAGCATTAAGGGGGACTGCTCGGCCCCCCCTCAGTCCTCAGTGCTGGGGAAAGGGGGCTCGGCTCCACGTAAGCGCAGCTCGCTTGCCCTTACGCTGCCACCCGGTAAAGGACCCAGGGCCGCAGCCAGGGCTCGGCCCTCTTCTCAGGGGCCCCCCACGGTCCAGAGCGATAAGTGGGTCTGCCCGACCCCCCCTCAGTCCGCAGTGTTGGGGTGCGGGGGCTCTGCTCCACGAAAGCGCAGCGCGTCTGCCCTCACTCTGCCGCCCGGAAAAAGGCCCAGGGCCGCAGCTAGGGCTCAGCCCTTTTCCCAGGGGCCCCCCACTATCCGATGCCTCCCCAGGAGGGACGTCTGTGGGCGGGCCGGGCCTTACTCCCTCCTCCCATCCCGCCGTGCTTCCCTTGACTCATTTTGTCACGGTATGGGAACAGGCAGGGCTCCTGGGAACACCGTGGATACGCAGAGTGCTGCATCGGGGCTATGCTCTCCAGTTCTCCCGGCGGCCCCCTCCTTTCTGCGGCATTCTCCAGACAAGGCTATGCAGCCCGGAAGACGCCGTGGCGCTTCACAGGGAGGTCGACGCGCTTCTGCAGCGCGGCGCGGTAGCGGAGGTAGACCCGCTCAAGGCAGGGACAGGGTTTTACTCTCCATACTTCATTGTTCCCAAAAAGAGCGGGGGGGTGCGGGCCATTCTGGACCTGCGCGTCCTCAACGGCTGCATAGCCAAGCGACCGTTTCGCATGCTCACAGTCAAACAGCTGCTGCTGAGCATCAGGCCCGGGGACTGGATGTCCTCCGTGGACCTCAGAGACGCGTATTTCCACATACCCATTGCTCTGGGGCACAGGAAGTTCCTCCGGTTTTCTGTGGGGGGGGGGGTGCTTCGAGTATTGCCGACTCCCGTTCGGCTACTCCCTAGCCCCCCGCACCTTCTCCAAGTGTGTGGAGGCGGCGCTAGAACCCCTTCGGCGTCAGGGCCTCAGGATACTGACGTATATCGACGACTGGCTGATCCTGGCCTCCTCTCGGGAGGAGGCGCAGGATCACACGTCCAGAGTGATGAACCACGTTGCCCGCCTAGGGTTTGTGATCAATATGGACAAAAGCTCCCTGTGCCCGGCCCAGGAGATTTCGTATCTGGGGCTGGTCTTGAATTCCAGGAGCATGACGGCTTCACTCTCGCCAGAGAGACAAGCGGCGGTTCAAAACCTGGGCCGGGTCGTTCTGGGCGAACCTCGGGTCCAACCGCGGCAGATCCGGTCACTCTTGGGCATGATGGCAGCAGCCCATCCAGTGGTGAGACTGGGGTTGCTGCACATGCGATATCTCCAGAGGTGGTTCTCACACCTCAGGGGTTTATCACGGAGGGAGAGACTGTCGGAGAGGGCTCGGAACGACGTCGCCTTCTGGCTGTCCCCAGGTCGACTCCAGGAGGGAGTTCGAATGGGTCTGGTGGACCACCACATCGAGGTCTTCACGGACGCCTCACTGAGCGGTTGGGGAGGCGTGCTCGGCCACCACTCGGCAGGAGGCGTTTGGTCCTCCCCCTTGGGGCACATCAACCTCCTGGAGTTGGAGGCGGTGCGGTTAGTACTGGCCCATTTTGTGACCAGACTGGAGGGCCAACATGTGATTGTTCGGACGGACAACACCACTGTGGCAGCTTACCTGAACAGGCAGGGGGGGACCAGGTCCCCCGCCCTTCACAGGCTGGCAGTGGAGGTTCTTCTGTGGGCGGACGTTCACCTAGCCTCTCTGAGGGCCCGTCACATCCCAGGCGAGTGCAACGTGGCCGCCGACAGGATGTCCAGGGGCGGGGCCTTGCGGGACGAGTGGGGTCTCGCCCCAGCGGTCGTGGCGGAGGTCTGGCTCCGGTTCGGAACACCGGTGGCCGACCTTTTCGCAAATGCAGAGAACGCACAGTGCCCACTCTGGTTCTCGCTCAGGTCCAGCGACGAGCCCCCTCTCGGGGTGGACGCCATGGCGCACAGGTCGTGGCCCAACGGTCTCCTCTACGCCTTCCCGCCTCTCCGGCTCTTGGCAGCCCTGCTTTACAGGGTAAAGAGGGAGGGGGTCTCCATCCTGGTGGTGGCGCCGGACAGCCCGGGAGCCAGGTGGTATCCGGACCTGGTGAGCATGGCGCTCGGTCTGCCTTGGCCCATTCCGGACCGTCCCGATGCTCTGAGACAGGCAGGGGGAGCCCTTTACTCACGCCCTGTCCTGGGACACAGGCTCATGGTCTGGAGGCTGAAAGGGGGAAACTGTTGAGCCTTGGTCTCCCTCCCTCAGTGGTCGCTACTATTCAGGGTGGGAGGGCTACATCCACCACCAAAGCGTATGAGGTTCGCTGGAAACTCTTCGCCTCTTGGTGCGTGGACAGAGGCCTGGACCCCACCTCGTGTTCCATCCAGGAGGTCTTGGCTTTTCTCCAGTTTTTGCTGGAGAAGGGAAGGGCGGCCGCCACTCTGGGTGTGTTCGCGGCGGCCATTACCACAGGGCACGTGGGGTTTGGTAGCCACTCTGCGTGTAGCCACCCCTTGGTGAAGCGCTTTCTCCGAGGGGCCCGCAGGATCAGACCTCCCCTCCGGCGGTCGGCTCCGTCTTGGGACCTTCAGGTGGTCTTAGCTGGTCTGTCGGGGCCTCCATTTGAACCCCTGGACAATGCGACCATTGCCTGTTTGTCCTACAAAACGGCATTGTTGTTGGCGTTGGCTTCGGCCAAGAGGTCTGGGGATCTGTGCGCCCTTTCCATGCACCCGTCTTGTTTGTCCCTCCCCGATCGGGAGGGCATGATGGAGTTGTGGCCTAACCCGGCATTCCAGCCCAAGGTCGTCACGTCATCTTTCAGATCTAGGGTGATCAGGGTGAGACCGTTTTTCCCTCCTCCGCATGCTTCGGAGGAGGAAGAGCGGCGTCATAGTCTCTGCCCGATCAGGGCTGTGTGATGCTATTTGGACCGCACGTCTGACCTCAGACGGTCGAATCAGTTGTTTGTCGGGTTTGGCACCAGGAGTCAGGGGGCTGCTTTGTCTCCACAGCGCTTGGCCCACTGGCTTTGCCTTGCCATTCGTTTGGCGTATGAAGCTCAGGGCTTGCCGCCTCCGGCCCAGTTGAGGGCTCACTCCACTCGCGGGGTTGCCGCTTCGGTGGCTTTGTTCCGTGGCACTTCGGTGGAGGAGATCTGCAGAGCGGCGTCTTGGTCCTCCCCCTCGACCTTTGTGCAGTTTTACCTACTAGAGGTGGCCTCTGACTCTGTGGCTCATTCGGTTTTGAGTGCAGGGCGGCCCTAGTTCCTCCTTCGTCTAGGGTTATGTGGAGAGGTGTTGGCGCTCTTGGGAGAGGCGGCCTGGACACCTCTGCAGTAGGGGTAGGCGCTCTTGGGAGAGGCGGCCTAGACCCTTCTGCAGTCTGCTCTACATTCCGGGGGTTCAGGTGCTCTTGGGAGAGGCTGCCTGCCCAGGTTTGTTCTGAATTCTTTCCTGCTTTGCAGGTTGGGGAATGCGCGGGCACTCTTGGGAGAGGTAGCCCTGCATCCCTTTCTCTATGGCTCGTAGGACCTCCGTTTCTACCGCTTGGTTGCGGTATGAGCAGGAGGGTCACGAGTTTGCTCCAATCACCAGAGTTCATGCCTGCTGGGAGTACATTGGTCTGGGCTTCGCTATGTTATGCATTAGCGAAGCCTAAAGGGCGAAGCAACATATGAAATAGAAACCCCAGTTACCTAATGTAACTAAGGTTCTATGAATATGTTGCGAAGCCCTTTAGCTTCGAGCCCAGCAGGCCTGCCCTCTCTTATTCGGCTGAGTTCGAAAGGAGAAGAGCTGTGGTGCATGACCCCTTTTATAGGGGACAGACCTACGCCAGGACGTGAAGGTGATTGGAGGGTGGATCGTTTGATCTTCTCAGGGCGGGAAGCGATGCTTCCGAAGAGATATGCATTAGCGAAGCCTAAAGGGCTTCGCAACATATTCATAGAACCTTAGTTACATTAGGTAACTGGGGTTTTCAATGGACTGAAAACAGTTTTCTGTTACTGATCAATGTTAATAATCTTAATGTCATTTTATGTGGATTTATTGTTGTTTTAATAAACAAAAACAGGACATATACAGTATGTGCACTATCTTGTCATTTATTCCTTTCAAACAACCATTTACAGAAAAATATGGCTCAATTTTGCCCTGTCCCACTAAACATCCGACGTCCACTCAACCTCCAGATCACGTCAATATCGCGTCGGTCGGTCGTGACCTTTTATTCACGTCCAAACGACGTCTGTGCAAGGTGCGCATCTGGACGTAAAACAATGACCTCCCATATACGTGGATATGACGTCCAATCCCGACCTCCCCTAGACGTGGAAAACAGGTCATCGGCCGACCGACGCAGTACGTCTTGATCTAGCA